GAATTATTCTCTGTATTTTTTAGTGGTATTATTATTAACCGTGATAATTTATCTTATAAGATATTTAAAGTGTTCCATATTTTGGAAATTGTGATTGTTAACTTTAATATTTTATCTAGATTTATTGAATTGGTCTCTTTTGTTGATTCGCTTGTATCTGGTTTTCATTTCGTTGATTTTAAGTGAAAAATTTTTCGTGCTCTCTTCACTTTATGGAAGATGTTTGCGGACGAGAGAGTTTCTTATGAGATCTATATCATTACCAGGAGTACTTTGTACCTTGGGCCGGTAATGGATTACGTCTTAAATAGGCGATATTTCTATTTTAGTAGGCTGTTTATTAATTTTTTGACTATTTGAAACGGTCCTGCAAGTGACAACAGTAGGTTCATTTAATTTCGCTTCGTAATAAACTTAAAATTATTCGGGAATTACAAGTTAGAAAATTCAACCGAGTTCAAAAATAAGTATCAAAAGTTAAGTGCATACAGGTGATAGTAGTTAATAAAGAAAATACCATCAGACAAGTAAGATAGAACTATTTTAATAAACATGTCTTAAGTAAATGAATAATTGAGTGAAAGATTAAAAAAGTGGTTTTGGCGAATGTTCGAAGGGTCGACCTGCTTAGGCATTCCTACGCGTTTTTTGTTTTTGTTTTTTTTTTTTGGCAGATAAGAAAGTAATTAGTGCTGACAAGAAATTAATCATCAAAATAAAAGCCACATAATTTTATTACAAAAATCCAGATCTGGCCTTAAAATAGATTTGATTAAAGTTGGGATTAGAATTAAATTAAATTAAAATAATAAATTAAAAGTAAATGTAATACAATAACTAAATCGAATGAACAGCAAAAGAAATAAGCCAGAACACGATAACTCATTCGACGAGGAGGAAGCCTTCAAAAGAAGCAAAGCCACGTTAAGAACATCTCCAAAGGATAACATAAAAAATCGCGAAATGGAAGAACTAAAGAAACTACTAGAAGAAATAAATAAGGAGATTAAAACAAAAATAAAAGAGCTGAAAACAAAAATGAAGGAAGAAAATAAGGAGATGAGAAGATATATAAATGAAGTTAAAGAAGAGATAAAACAAAATAACGAAGAAATAAAAAGCATAAAACTGGAAATAGAAAGGGCGAAGGAAGAATGGACAAAAGAGAAAGAAGAACTGAAAAGAGAAAACGAACTAACCAAAACCGATAACAAAAAGATAACGGAAGAATTAAATGATCTAAAACGCTCATTAGAAAGGTTAGACAAAGAAAAAAGAATATAATCATCAGTGGATCAAAAATAGACTCTGAAGACCCAAAAACATTGAAAGAGGGAATGACTACTATATTAGAAAATCATCTTGGAGTCAAAACCAATATTAAAAGAGCACAAAAAATAGGAACAAAAATATGCTTAATTGAACTTGAAAGCGAAGAAGAAAAAACAACAATCTTAAGAAACAAATACAAACTTAAGAATGTGAAGATCGAAAAAATATGGATTACAGAGGATCTCACAAAAGGAGAGAGAGAAAATGGAATCTTTAAGAGATAAAGCAAGAGAAATGAGGGAAAATGGTCAAAATAGGATACAATAAAATCACAGTGGACGGCAAGGAATGGAGATGGTGCTATAAAGAAGAAAAGGTGTTGGAAATAGCGTGTTCAAAAAACTACCAGAGCAACATAAAAAGAACCAAGGAGAGGCCAAGCAACGAGTAGAGAAAGAAGAATTATTTAAATAAACGGACAATGATGACAAATGTTTAGTTTTAAGTAGTAATATGAATAGGATTAGAAATAATAAAAATAGATTATAAATCAATTTTAAGCCAAACCCCGGAAATGTCCTTAATAGAGACGCTTTCACAAATCTGAAGATATACCTGAACCAATAGTGTCATAAAATCCTTAAACTCTGGACTTGCTATAAATACCTTGAAGATAGTTTCTATCACAGAACTTTGTTTAAAACCAAATGGCAACCTAGAACCAGAAAAATAATATTCTCCGCAAACTTGTCAGCTCAAAATAGGAAGCACATTCTTCCACCCTTAAAACGTAGACTTAAACTCTATGCTTATGCTGCCGAATATACCTTGCTAGTATGGGTGACAAAAGCACATACTTAACACGTAAGTATATTTAGCTATAAATTAGTCATTCATCAGATCATCACATCTGCAAGATATACAAAAAAATATAAGCTGCTCCTCGCCATCTGAACCCTCGAAAGGAACTTCCTTATGGTTGTTATCTTCCTTAAGTTTGCCTGGAGGACTCTTGCATGAAAACACCGGTTAACCTGTGTGAATGTGGGGTGGTATAAGATTCATCACACTTTCTTAGTTGACTTTTCCATTCAAATCGCTCTTTTCTGAAGGGACAAGGTTTATTTATTTGAACTAAACATGTTAAGTATAGCCAGTAAGCTTTTACTTATAAAGATCATTGCAAATTTGAAACTAACTCCACTTATATTGATAACATATTACCCCTAAATAGAAAATAAAACATTCAGAAGTATGTAATATTGGAGAAGTGGTATAATGCTTGTTAGATAAATTCTTTCTTTTTTTTGTGCACTACTACCCATTTTTACACAAAAATATCTATTTTAGCACTTAAATATTTATTTTGAGATAACCTTTTATCCAAACTTATATGTAGTACATAGATAAAACCAGAAATAAAATAATAAAAAGCTGTATACAAGATATCATAAAACAATGGATGAAATAAAAGAAGTTCTTATTAATCGGATTCTTAAATAAAACTTATGAAGACATATTCACGTTAACAAAATACATTAGGAAATTTCCGCATATGAAACAAAATCCAATTTGGTAATGAAATCCTTTTGTATCTATAAAGCTATTTTTAGAGAACTCGTACCTACCAAAAACAGGTAGTTAATAGTATACATATCTGTTACACACTGTAATGCGTATGAATGATAACAAAACTAAGGAGTCCATATAAACCGTCCAGACTTTACTCGAGAATTATACATCTTATAGCAGAGTTGCCAAACTATCAGAGCTTACTTAAACCGATATACATATGGTTCCAATATACAGTGAAAAGATCTGAACGACCCCTATAATATATACACGTGAACTAAGCGATATACATTTATGATACAGGGATAATTATGGGCTCCAAAATTTTTTTAAAAATTATGAAACTATACATGTTGACGAATCGACAGAGCCAATATTATGGAATGGTCAAGTGAGCTCCGTATATCGGTGTCCACTTGACCACGGAGCTCACCTGACCTGAATTTTAACATGGGCGGAGTCCACTTTATGCCGCAAATATATATATATATATATATATATATATATATATATATATTATATATATATATTTATATATATTTATTATGTTAGTTTTGATACTTCCGCGGGAGCTGTATGTTATAACAATGGTATTCCGGGTTTGACTCCGCGTTAAATGTTGTTGGTTTTGATAAAAACCATTTTGACGACGTTTCATCTATATATATATTTCATCTATATATATATATATATATATATATATATATATATATATATATATATATATATATATATATATATATATATATATTAAAATATATATATATATATATATATAATATATTTAATATTTATATAATTTATTTTATTATATATGTATATATATATATGTATATATATATATATATATATATCTATATATATTTATATTGGATTTGAAATTTCCGCGGCAGCTATATGTAATTTCAGATGTTTTCCGGGTTTGACTCCACGTTAAATAGTTTTGGTTTTTAATAAAACCATTGTTTTGACGACGTTTCGGCAAGGTCACACTTGCCATTGTCAAGTCAGATTAGTTCTGCTTCGTCTTGATGGTTCAGGAGAACTAATCTGACTTGACAATGGCAAGTGTGACCTTGCCGAAACGTCGTCAAAACAATGGTTTTTTTAAAAACCAAAACTATTTAACGCGGAGTCAAACCCGGAAAACATCTGAAATCATGTATTTATATATATATATATATATATATATATATATATATATATATATATATATATATATCCTCTAAAATAACAGCTGATCTGGTAGATGAAAAGTGAGTTGAGGTTAATTGGTTATACAGCTGAATAAAAGCCAAGTGCACTCTGTTCAACAGTTCATTATATTTCGCCAATTTTCATTGGCATCATCAGATGAAAGCTACAATTATTTAAAACATGGTAAAAATAAATAAAAATAAAAATAATAAAATACATTCAATAGTCTTACTTGATTGAGGTTGTGGCAATATGATTTATGTTATCATCAGAAAGGTTTGTGGTATGATGTGGATTGTAGTTTTTTGGATATATAACATGTAGTTGTAAAAATGACAATTAAAATATTAAATGACAATATATAAATTAAAAAACAAAATAAACATAAAAACGTTTAGTTCGCAGATAGTCATTAAGGTTTAGTACTAGAAATACCAAATATCGATTGTTATTGATTGATGTGTAGCAGGAGATAATTAGTTCTATAGTGTTAATATAGTAGTTGTTTATTGATTGGGATTTACTGTAAAAGTGTGTTTTAGATAAAAAATTTTTAGATAGTCATTAAGGTTTAGTACTAGAAATACCAAATATCGAATGTTATTGATTGATGTGTAGCAGGAGATAATTAGTTCTATAGTGTTAATATAGTAGTTGTTTATTTATATATATATATAGACACATGTAGGATAGAATACGATACTAATCCAATTCATATTATTCCAGCGGAACCTGTCGGCTACTTTACAAAAACTGATTTTATTCGCAGATGCACACAGTTGGTATGGAAAATTATAATACCTACGTCATTGGTGTTCACTCAAAACGATGTTTTGTAATAATTACCAATATTATGATTTGATTGAATGGGAAGAACACAGTGATCCTTTAATGTGTCTAGTTCGTGATATTGTATGGGTATAACTTATATATAGAGGCTTTTTATCTTTAAAACTTACTTGAAATTGATCGGTAATACTCCCAAGATGAGTGAGACTTAGATGCCACTGGTCTCCTTGATTTCTACTTATTGAAAAGAAAGCTGATTCCGGATTTAATTGCCAACTTTCATTTATTGTTTTTAAATATACACGAAGAGTTCCTATTGTAGCTCCGAACATGTGATAATAAAATTTAAAACAAAGATCATCACTACCAACGTCATATACTGGTGAAATCAATCTGGCGCTGTCATTTTCAGACTTTGATGATGACTCAATATACATGTAGTAACCTAAAATAAAATCCATAAAAAATATTTGATTGATCAAAAAGTTTTATACAGAAGTTATATATTGGTTCAATGGTCTTTTTATATTCGAGATTATGGTACCCTTTATAAAAATATCTTTTATTCAGGACTGGATTGGCTCAAAAAAGGGGCCAGCCTTAACTCTAAACGGAAGACGCCAGACCCCGTGCCCCAAGCTTTTTAAATTAAACTTTTTTGAAATTATAATGCATGTAAAGTAAATCAATATTATTTGTGATTTTCTGTAGGTTTAATTTTAATTTTAATCCATAAACTTTAATATCAAGGTAGTGTCATACTGTCTCTTATACTCTATTATACTCTTTTTTATCATTAATTATTCAGAAATCAGATCTAAGTAACCCAATTAAGTTTAAAAATTTAAAATCCTTTTATTAATATTAATCATTGCTTATTGCCCAATGTCATTGTTTGTTTATGATATTGAAAATATCGGTGTAACTGGAACACGCGCTGACCTAGTGAAATTTGCAATGTAGGTAATCTAAAGCTTATTAAATAATGTGTATAAATTATATTAGTAAACCAATATAATATAAACAAACTAACGTGAGTTAAATACCTGGAAAATAACGGGAGTAAATTTGTAGCGTTTTATATTTATTGTGTATATAAAAGATTTTTGTAATACGTCCCTGGTCGTTTATCTCGGTCAGCATAGTAAGTTTTTTTAATGTTTTGATGAAGAAGTTAAATGTTTGTTGTAAATATTTCAAGTTTTTTGTGACGAGATTTTTAAATGCGTAATAACGCTGAAAATATGTTTTTATCTCGGTGTTGCCATGTTAGGTAAAACAACAAGTTTTTTGTCGCCGAAGAGGATTATATTACACATGAGTTCCCCTAATATTCCGGTTAGAATAATTAATAATGCATATATTTTTACCGATTCAAAAGTAAATATAGATGTTTTTTTCTGTGTTTAGATTTAAATATCGCACTCTCTTATATGGTGAGGTAAATAGGGTCGCCAACACCGATATTAGATTTAGGTCAGGAGGGGAATATTGTTTGTTTAGGTATTGTAGATGCAAGACGGAAGGGGAAATTTATTTGGCGTCGAATTTGTAAAATTTAACGCAGATAAGAGTCCAAGAACAGATTTGAAACGGGGCAGACATGTGACAATGGAGTCCAAGAACAGATTTGAAGCTAGGTAGACGCTTTTGCGCATGTGAAATGTTGGACCATTTTTGAATCGAAGAGTTGATTCAATTTTTTTTGTAATGTCTTTAATACTCTTTGCTTAGCATAAGCGGTTCTATCAGAGTAGTCATTAGATTTGAATAAATACCAGAAGCTTTTAAGAAGTATTATATAGGATGTCCCGTAAGTCAGCTTGATTCTTCCACCAAGTTCCTGTTCCAATCGTTCCTGCCTTAGTATGGAAATGGTTCTTTGTTCCTGTTAGAGAATTTGCCCAGAGATGTAGCAAGTTTCTCCTTTGCAAAGTTAAGTGAATTATTTGAAAAACGAGGCAACTTTTAATATATTAATTTTTCCAAGAGACATTATAATAATTAAAGTATTATATTATTTTTGTCGTAGCTAAAAAAAGTCATATTTTATTCTGATTTAAAATGTTATGTTGACATATGACATTTGCTGTAATCCATTGTTTTTGTAACATAAAAAGGATATCCATAAAATTTTGATAATCTAAATTGGCCATATATAACCTAGGAACCATTTCAAAATTTTTGTAGCAATCTTTGATGTAAACAAAGAACATGTAAGTTTTTTTGTTATTTTGTGTTGTTATATAGTATGTTTCTTTTGTAATCTGTATTTTTGATAACTGTTTTTTTGAGACAAAAATAAACGTTTAATTTGTGTCTCTGATCTATTTTGAGTTTTATTTGAAAAAGATATATTTTTAATGTTTTATAATTAGTGCCCTAGTTACAACTAGTGGTTGTAATAGGTGTAATTAGGCACCTCAAGTGGCGCCCTATATTAAATTCCTTGAGGTGTTTCCTGTTTATTTTTATTTTGTTTGTCCCAAGAGATTTGTATAAGTACCCCTTTATTTCTTTTTTTGTAGTTGCCCCAATCCAACCCCCATATCTTCAACTTATCCACGACCCAGCTCTCCAACAACCAACTGAGTGCCGTACGCACTTGTTTCGATTTATTTTGTTTGCCCATTCTTCTACCCCGTGTCCTTACCCTGAGGTAAGCAAAATAAAAATCGTTACAATTTTGTCGCCTTATCAGTGGGGCTTTTGAATATTTCCACATTTTTTAGTTTCTGATTCCTTTTTACCAAGCCATTTATATGAAACTTTTTCCTTTTGAATAAGTGCCCCAATTGTCTCTCAAACAGTATATTTATTTGTAATATATACCTATATATATATATATATATATATATATATATATATATATATATATATATATATATATATATATATATATATAGGATCACTCAGACGAGTGGTGGGTTCATATCGGTCTATTGGGAAGAGAAATAAAAGACAAAGTTGATACTACTTCATCTATTTTGAAGACGTTTCGCTATCGAATTCTGATAGCATCATCAGTTCATCTAAAAATTTTACATTATGAGAACCACACATTCATGAAGAAGATGTTACATAGTTACCTTTAAAAAGACATGTAGTTAATGGTATTAAAAAGTTAGTACAAAAACTCAGATTAATGGACATCATACTATGGTGATATTGTATAAACAGTCAAATAACTAACAACATTTAGAGATCTAATAAAAATTAGCAAAGCAACAGAACACGTGGTCTAATCTACATATAGTATTTTATATAATATTAACTAGTGAAAAAGAACTAAGAAAATCATCGATTCACTTCACTATATATATATATATATATATATATATATATATATATATATATATATATATATATATATATATATATATATTATATATAGGGGTCCGCGTAGCGCAAGCGGTAGTGTGCTTGCCTCGCATGCCGGTGGTCGTGAGTTCGAATCCTACCGCCGGCAAGAACAACTAGGCATTTTTAAAAATGTCTATAGGCCCCAGGTCGACTCAGCCTGAATAAAATGAGTACCTTGGGTAAAACCAGGGGTAATAATAGGCGGTTGAAGCGTAGCACTGGCCATGTTACCTTCCTTGTATACCGTAGGCCCTAGATATAGCAGACTACCCTGCTATACTCCCAAAGCCGCGTGCGGTATAAAACGGGAGACTATATTATATATATATATATATATATATATATATATATATATATATATATATATATATATATATATAATATATATATATATATATATATATATATATATTATTATGATATGTAAAATGTAAAATCGAGAAAAGTATTGGTTTGCTTAAAATATTTCAGTTAAAAAACATTAAAATAATTCAGATAAGTCAAATAATGAACAACAAACATTTCGAAGAATGAAAGTATTTTAACTTTGGATTACCTGTATTTAACAAAACGTTAGATATGCATAAATTATTTTCTTTGTTATAATATACTTGAGTGACCCGCATAATTTTAAGTGAAATCCATAGACAATTGAAGCGGTTTTTCCAAATAAATGTTGTGCAGTAATTAGGACAATAGAATAGATTTTAGAAAGATATGTTTTTGTTAGTTCTTAGGAATTGGTAGGAAAAGATTATTTTGTTAAATAGTTTTAGGAAATTTTATAATTGTCGGTAAAAATTTGTGTGTTATCGAAATGAAGAAATGGGAGATGTATGAAGCGTTTTGATTGGATGAGATTAAAAAAGGTGGGATGATTGGTTTAAGAATAAGACTTTAGTTAGTTTTTTAAAAATAAAAGATAGTCAGTTAGTTTCCAAGGGTGCAAGGCGAACGACCGTTGTTCTCGGGTAGTTTCCCAGAGGTAGGAAGCAGTAGCAGTGAAAGTTTGTGAGTTTTCGTGTAGTTAGTGTATCTGATAGAAGCTGATCCAGTAAAAGATTGTAAGTTATATTTTCTACTTATATTCCAAGAGTCACTGTTCAGGCCAACGAGAAATTCAGTTTATCGTAAAGAAAAGATATTTCAAGAGTCATTTTTCACTCAGGCCAACGAAAGATTCAGTTTATTGAGAGAAAAAGAAGCTAGCATAATTTGAACGATTCGTGCATTTGAAAGAGATCATTAAGGACGATAAACTTGCAATAATTTGTTGTAAAATTGCTGATTACCTAGGGAGCGGCTGAGAGTAGATAATATAGTCTACAAGGAACAAGGATTTGGACCACTCATCATCAGAGAGAGATAGTTTTGTTTTTCTGCAGTTTTTCTTTTATTGATAACACAATTTTTACAATTACTTTAGAAAAGATATAAATTTTTGGTTAGGAGATTTAGAAAAATAATTGGGATTTTGAGATTTTAACTAATATTGTTTATACCATTAATTTTGAAGGTTCACGTACGTAGAACAAAATTTTAAGAATCATTATATGAGATATTGTTTATTGAAAACATTTGAGTGTAAATTTTATTTCATTATTTTTATTTCAATATATAGTGTTATATCATATGTGTTTTTTATTATTCCGGTATTCTTTGGACCTTACCTTTTACATGTGAAGCATAGATATTGAAGCACGAATTTAACCCTGAGATAAGAGAATTAAAAAGTGTGATAGAGTCATAATCATATCATTTAAATAATTTGAATTAATTAATTAATTAATTAGCTAATTAATTGCTTGGCGCACTAAGACTTGATATCTACTTGATATTGATATGATAAGAAAATATCACAATAATATATATATATATATATATATTATATATATATATATATATATATATGTATATATTATTGTGATATCAAGGATTTTAATTTTAAAACTTTACAAACAATATATATAAAAAATTATTTAAATTTTTGATTTATGATTTATATCCCACTTTTTAATTTTTTTATCTCAGTTTTACTCGTGCTTCAATAGCTATACTTTACAGCTGATGGGTTAGGTCCAA